ATGGGTCTTATAAAGGAAAGCAGACTCACAAGGGGACTAGTGTCTACTATCTTCTTTGAGGGCTTGAAAAGGCAAGGTTAACATGGGCCCAAGGCCTAAGGATCACACTACCCAAAAACAAACAGAAAAGACTCATTGACCGCTTTTTTATTTTTGCGTTTGCACCAAACGCCACACAATTATTATAGCAATATTTTACAAAACGCAAGTAACTTTCAGCTTTTTATGTGGCAGGTGCAGGAATTAATTAAATAAAAAGACGGGTTAGAAGCGGCGTCAAATCTGAAACTAAACTAAAATTAGAAGAAAAAAAAAAAAAACACAACGGAGGAACCAGGAAGCATTTTCCCAAACCTTCTAGAAAACAATTGTTATTCTCCATTTACCCGAAAGCATTTTTCCAGGAGTTTCTGCACAAGCTCCTTTCCATTTCTAATTCCAATTTCGATTCCGATCCCATCCGAACTTCCTTTGAAGTCCATTAAACTCTCTGCTACCGTCATAGCTGAAGCAAGGGATCTCGCATCCGACCAAGTCTTTGACCAGCCGCTGGCAGGCCAGCCGGGCAGTGAGCACTGTGGGAACGGGCTTCCCAAAAAGCCAACCCCGATTTCATTCCCGTTTCGATTCCAAGAGTTTCTCCACAAGTTATTTCCGATTCTAATTCCAATTTCTCTGAAGTTCCAATTGAAGGTTCTCCTCAATTTCATTCTCATTTCCGATTATCCTCATTTCTGATTTCCTTCTCATTTCCAATTATCCTCATTTCTGATTACATGTTCAATTAAATGCAGTTTTTTTTTTTTTGTTGGCGGCATTCAGTCCAGGCTCAGTGTTGCTCACAACCAAGGCTCTGGTAATTTTTACTCGACTCCGGTGACAGTGTAGACATTTTCCTGCAACAATTTTAGGACTTTTGGGAGAAGACAAAGAGAGACGACACAGAGGAATTCAATAACAAAGGAAAATCAACAGTTGAGATCTTAAATTGTCAAACTAGTTTTATTTGTTCTGAAATTTTATTTTATGATATTGGATACTCATATATTCATCATGGAATTATTGATTTTTTTTCTTTAATTATATGAACTAATTTAATCATCAAAGATTATGATGTAACTTAATTAATTTAATATAAAATTTTATGATTTTTATATTTTTAAGATTTATTATTTTATGTAGAATATATAATATTGTTTTTAATGTTTTTTAATGATCGGCTACCATTAAAACTGATTTGAAGAGTATAATTGAGACCGATAGAATATTTTATACAATAATTTTTAGTAATATATATAATGAATTGAACGAAAATCAGAGATAAACCAACATGATTCATGTAGTATTAGTGATAGGTAGACTTAATTTTCTACATAAACTAGGAAATTTCACAGTATATAATGCTTTTTTATCTATTTGAATTCACATAGAAATATAGTGAGTTAATAAGTGAAGATAGTTTTGGTATAACTTGAAAAAGTATATCAAATAAGATAGCAAATCTTGCTATCACATGAATAATAAATACTTTGGAAGTATATTAATCTAAATTCTATATTAGTTGATTATGGTGAAATCGGATGCCTTAAAATTTTAACTCTTGGTGTTACTTAAAATCAATTTGGTTTTTCTTTAATTGTTTTGGTTAATTATTTTATTCAAATCATTTAATTTCAATTCTTTAAATAAAATTAAAATTAGTTATTTTTGGTACTCTATGAGGTAATACTTTATTTTCATCATTATATTACTTAAATTGACTAATACTTTTGTTAGAGTAAATTTAGCTCATCAATATCTAAATCCCATTTGTCATTTTCTACACTATAAAGAGATGGGTGTTCTTGAACATAAAATGTAGGAAAAAGTTTTCCAACTTGTACATGGAATGAGCCCAAATTCTTTGTACAATCAATATTTAATTCTCATAGTTGATTAGTAAGAAGAGTGCTCAATTTTATAATTTTAATTATATCAAATTGTAAAGTAGGACTCCAAGATGAAAGGATATCATCTTATTTAATAATTATAATTGTGTAATTTAATATAATTTATATGGTACAACTATAACATTTTTTCCTAGCAAGAATATCCCTAATTACGTTTGGTGGTATGCAAAATTTGTGGAAAACAAGTCATCAATTTTTTTATCAGCTTGTGGCAGGTTATTGTACAAATTCGAACCCTTCATTTTAGAGATTTTGTACAAAAAATGATATAATTTTTTATTAAAAAATGGTCATTTTTTCTTACTAATCAAAACTACTATCTTCATAAAGTTTTTTAATCAATCATATATAATCTTGTGCACATTCACTTAATTTCTTTTACTCAAATCATAAAAGTTATATCTTTAATTATAAATTTCTAAAAGTGCTAGCTTTGATTAATAAGGAGAAAAATGTTATATCCTTAATTAAAAATATATTGAAAAGTTTCATCCTTATTAGTAGGAAATCTCCTAATTTCAACAATTGAACATCAAATCCTAATAATTGACAGTAAGCAAAGTTCTGTCATGACAACAACAAAGAGTTAGCAATATGATTTTTTTTTTTTTTGCTCTTATTATGATAGATAATTGTATGAAGATAATTCATTGTGTTCTTTGCATACTTTTTTGTTCAAAATAAATATCTAATATTCTGTCATTTTGATTTCTTTTGTTTTAATAATGTTCCTGGGCCTTGCTTTAGTTTTAGTTTGCATACTTTATATAAGGGTTTCAAAGAAGTCGGAAAGTAGCCAAAAAAATTAACCAATTAAATCTCGTATAGTCAAATATTGTATTTATATGCTAAAAGGTGAGCCCTTTTGGTCTATTTGTAAAGATTGCAAGGTGGGACCAAACACATATACATGCCTATCTTTGATTGGTCAAAGTCTTGATAATCATAAATAGTTAATTTGAATTGTTTTCCAACTAATATTGATGCGGTTTGAAAAAGACTTAGTTTTTGCTTTAGTTTTACTTGTTATTCTTTATAATGTCTAAAAGACTCAAAAGAGTCATTGCATTTGCAGAGTCGATTCCATTTATTAGCTAATGTTAGTCAATGACAGTCAATCGCATTAATTTAAGATGTTCTCTTGAAATTGCTTTCTTGGTATTCTATATTCATTTATTTTTTGTTTTGATGGAATATATTCAATTATTAGCGAACCTCAATTTGGAACACTATATATACTCTTCTAGAGTACTCTATTACGCAAACAGAAATATGGGAATTTTCACAATGCTCTCTACGCCACTTTGCCTCATTTTCCTCTTCCTCTACCTTAAAACTACCTTCGCATCCTCTTTACATGCTTCTTCCTTCTCAACAACACACCTCTGCTCTCATGAGGAGGCTGCTGCTTTGTTGCAATTCA